AACCCTAACCCTAACCCTAACCCTAACCCTAACCCTAACCCTAACCCTAACCCTAACCCTAACCCTAACCCTAACCCTGAGAGGTAGAAGTTAAATCTTAGTAGGCCTTGGTATTACCTAAAATAAAAAACGTAACTAATACAAAGTATAGAGGAGTACATAAGCTATAATTTGAGCTACTGAATGACATTTTTCAAGGTGGTTATTATAATAAATTATAGTACCGAAGTAGCAGTGGGCGGTTAACCAGGGTAGGCGGATGCCCTGGGTACACGGGTATAAGACATCTTAGCCTCTTTATATGCCATCCTATCCCCTCCCAAAAGGTTTGGTCGACCTGGCCAGAATGTGCGACGAAGTAAAACCTCCGACCTTTTGCCCTTGGACTTCGCAGCCTTCTTCGCTGCCTTCTTCGCTGCCTTCTGCTGGGCTTTCTGGAGCTTGTACTGTGCAGCTAATTGCTTCTGCCATAGCTTATTGGCAACATTCTCAATGTCCATATATGTCTTATATTTGGCATCCTTATCTTTGTCGCTAACTTTCCGCCACGCATAATAGGCTTCCGACACTTTTTTCTGGGAATCTTTATAGGCCTGGGCTTTCTTAGCAGCCTCAGCCTGCCTATATGCCACTGTATCCCCTCCCCCCAGAAAGCCTGGCCAAACGGTAGAGCGGCTCAGAACCTCGGACCCTTCGCCCTTGGACTTGTTCGCGGCCTTGTTCGCAGCCTTCTTCGCAGCCTTCTCCGCCTTCTTCTTAGCCATCTCCTGGGCTCTCTGAAACCTTCGCTGTGCAGCAGTGTACTTGGCCCACAACGCATTAGCCTTATCCTCCCGGTTTGCCAGCCACATTTCTATAATATCCTTATCTTCCCTGGTATAGGTACCTGAGAGATAGAAACGATAGGCTTCGTCCTCCAATTCTGTGGCATCGTCAGAGGCCTTCTTCTTCTTATTCATCTGAGCCTGCTTATATGCCATCCTATCCCCTCCCAGAAGGTTTGGTCGACCTGGCCAAAATGTGCGACGAAGTAGAACCGACGGCGTGGCGATCGAGACGGCGTTCCCGTTCTCGGCGACGTCTCTGGCGGCGATCTGGGCTGGGTACGCGGCAAGTGCGATGGCATTGGGTTGAGTAGGAAGAGTAGCGGCTGTGGATAATGTAGCGCTTAGGATGAGAATCCATATGGGAAGAGTGAAAAATGGCATCGTTGTTGGAAGTAGTTTATGAGAATGAGCAGTCGTATGAGAATGAGTAGTCGCTAGAGTTTGAAAAGAGTATAAAACTTGAAAATAAGATTTGTTAAGTGCTCGTAAATAAACAGATATATAAAAGAAGGACAGAAGAATCGAAGAACAGAAGAAGGGAATAGAAGAAGGAAAGAGTGAATGAAGGAAAGGATAAGAGATCTCTACTACCGTAGTAAATCGTCCTTATAAGAAATGCTAGGGTTTGGTGAGTGGATATGGTGGAGTAGGTACGGAGCTAGCAAGACTACTTTTGGGATATTCTATTCAGAGAACAGCTTTTAATGGGTCCTTTGCTAGATTTTTTTTTTCTACGCGTAGAAGATTACGATCTGTGGGAGCTTCTCTTCGTTAGACTTTGGACCCATAGAAAGCTGTTCTCTAAATAGCCCTCACACTTTATCTTAGCCCTAGTGAGATGGTTAGACTTGTATCTACAGATGTAAGTTACCTTGCAGTGAATAAGCTAGCTGTGTATGTCCTTCGAGACTGTGAATAACTTAGTAGAGCAAAATTAACACATTAACCACCTGTGCACATTATCTGCCCTCAGCCGCTGGTTATGGCCGTTCCCACCCCCCCGGGCTCACCGTTCCCGCCCCGACTCCGCCCCTCCCC